TCGGTGAGTAGCATCAAGATGGCATTGGGATGGTGAATGCATGAATTTGCTTACATAGTTAACTACAAATGTAATATGTATGTGCAAGGTATATCAGTTGACCAATAAGACGTTGAAATCTCCCTTGTTGACTGGAACCATAAAACTAGCATCAGGCTTTAGAAGAATCCATAGGAGTAGAGGCTGGCCGAGAACCGAGCATCCCGGTGTCTTTGAGCAAGTCCAAGGTATATTTCCTTTGAGACAAGCTAATCGTAGATTTCGTTCTTGCAATATCCATTCCCAAGAAGTACCTACCAAGGTCTTCATTTCGAAGGAGCGAGCCAGATGGGCTTTAACGTTTGCGATGGCCACTGCATGATCTCCCGTAAGTATAATGGTGTCGATATATATGATTAGGATAGTGATCTTACCATGTTCTTTAAGGTAGAAAAGAGTGTGATCGGCATGGGCTTGAGCATACCCAAATTGTTTAACTGTATGAGTGAACCGATCAAACCATGCTTTTGGGGACTGTTTGAGACCATAAATGGCCTTCTTGAGACGACAAACTTTATGGCTGCCATTTAGAGCATGAAAACCAGGGGTAAAACCATGTAGACCTCCTCTTGTAGGTGCCATTTAGAAATGCATTTTTTACGTCTTGTTGATGAAGAGGCCAATCGAAGTTGGCAGCAAGTGAGAGGAGAACCCGAATGGTATTAATTTTGGCATCCGAGGCAAATGTCTCCTGATAATCGATTCATGTCTGGTGTAGCCTTTTGCTACTAACCGAGCCTTGTATCTTTCAATAGAGCCATCACTTTTGTACTTAACCGTGAACACCTTTTACAACCAACTGTGGTCTTGCCGTGCACCCGTTCAACCACTACCCATGTACCATTTTTCTGAAGTGAACGAAGCTCTTCACATACTGCAGCCCGCCACTTAGTGTCTTGCAAAGCTTCATGAATTACTATTCTACAAAAGCACTAGAGCACATCGAAGATACTTCCTATCTATCCTGTTACAATGGTCAAAATCTTAAATAGCGGTCAAGACCATGATTTGATATAGCAGACTATATAATAATTAGAATTATATACATATATATGTGTGTATGTATGTACACATGATTACATGTATGTATAACTTAACATATTATATGTATCAAATAAAAATATATAGTTTCAACATCAAAACATCAACTTCAAAATACTTTGGTCGATAAAAAATATTTGGGTGGTTTATAAAATGTTGCATTATTATGAAAAAGATGGCAGTATAATTTAAGTGCTAGATAATTGCTTTAGTTTCAACATCTCTTCATTGATTTTAAAGATAAAAACTTAATCAACATGTATACTTCTATCAAGTCTGATGTACTAATCTTATACTATACGAATTATTGATATGAGAAAAACCAGAAGGTGTTTCTAATTTATTAAAGAGTAGCATGGATTTGAACATAATGTTGTCACATATAAATATTTAAAATAAATAATAATTTACATTTTTTGTTGTGCTATATATATTTGAGTTTTATCTGTAATTAGGTTTAGGCCTAACTTCTGAAAGTTAGTTCTTATTAGTTCTTATTAGTTCCTTTACTATTCTTTTTTTTAAATCAATGTAACTATCAAATTTTCTTCGAATTGATGTATTCTTTTTTGTATAGGATTTAAATATTTATTGTTTGTCTCTTTGACTAATTATGGCAAAAGAAGAAACTAATGTCAATCTTGTTAATATCCAATTTATTTAATATGTTTGTTATGTTTGATAATGATCAAGAAATATATCTATTAATGTGTATAAATTAAAAACATTATGAGTTCTTTATCTGCACTAATAAAGATCTTAGATAATGTTGTCTATAATATGCCGTTGCAATTTACTAACCAAATCAAATCAAAACCATACCAAAACGATCCAGTAATCCCACTCGAAAGTATTGGGAGTGTCAGATTTATGCAGACTGGACCTCTACCCAAAAAGAGTAGATCGACTGTTTGTGAAGACCCCTGGCTTGTGCACAAGCATGGGCAAGCAAGTAGAAGGCATAAAGATTAACAAACCGTGAACAAAGCGCGATAAAGGTAAGGAAGGCAAAACGCACACAGCGCAAGGCAAAAGGAACACATCTCTAGCCTAGACTATGAGCCATCCACCCCCCACCCTTCAAAAAGTACCTGTTCAACACCCTTCAGCCCGACTATGCTAGGTATCGGTCCATAAACCTAGCCTGCTACCTTGGTTCTATGTCTCCATTGTACTCCCATTAGAGGTCATGTCCTTGGAAATGTATAACACTACCATGTCCAACCTCACTCGCTCATCCCACGTCCTCCAAGTACTCCCTTCTGCTACTGCAATTTACTGAAAGTGGCAATTTTTCAAAACTTCACATCCTCTTTTTGAAAAAACTCGAACAGAAAAGCCCAAACTCCGATAAAATTCAATGTCATCTTCAGACTACTATGTTTGTTTTTCTGGATGTAAATAGAAGTATGCTGTATGATAGTGTTCCGTTACAAGGGGAAATTACATGAATAAAATCTGTTATTAGGATGTTTCTCTTGTGCACATTGCATTCCACTATTCATCTCTTCATAGTAAATCTACTGTTGACATTGATGACTATTATACTTTTGCTTTATCATTTTATTACCTTCATAAGTGTACACATGTCACATGGAAAGAAAGTTAGATTTGTGAGCTTCTTGTAAGCTCAGGTGTGGGATACCGATAACTTCTGCCATGGTTTTAAGTTGGTTTAGAAGTTATTTAGCTTGCTGCTTTGGCTGTGAGAAGGTTCAAATTGTATTAGAGCTGATCCTTGTACCATCAGGATGGTGGGGCAAACCTCAATAAACGTGATAAGTCCTCGGGGGGAAGGGGGGGTTATAACATCTAGGCAACTCCTACATCGGCGATTACAGTGAGAATTCTGGGAAGCCTTGACAAGAATTTCAGGAAGTTAGATTCGTGAGCTCCTTATAAGCTCAAAGTTGTGAGCTACCAATGACTTCCACCATGGTTTTAAGAAGTTATTGGGCCAACTTGCTGCTTTGGGACACGTACAATAAGTGCCTTGGCCTCTATGAAACTTTTTGCCTTTTGTTTTTGGGTTGCCTCTTCTATGCTGTTCCACCTTCATTTTGTGAATGGTGCTTCCCAATGCAAGCATGATATTTAGGTTTTCACATTAAAACTGGCAACATAGGTGCATAAGGTTATGTTACATATAGATATCATAGTAGGGATAATAGGGGGCTGGTAAATTAGTCAATTGTGGGGGCTGGTCAATTAGTCAAGTACGTTGGGTTATTAGAAGTATAAATAGAAGGGGATAGAAGTGATTAGGCATCAGTTCTATATTGTGTAATTGGAGGAAAACCTCTCTGGAGAGATCCGGCTCTTTCGAAAAACTGGAAATCAATTTGTAAACATTTGATTGTTGAATAAAGATGAAAAGTTCACATCAAATGGTATCAGAGCAGTCGATTCAGGAATTGACCAGGAGCATGCTTGTCATGGCGCAAAAGATGATGGAGGATATTACTTCGATGAAGTCTTCCATGGATGTGGTTCAAGAAGATTGGAAATCATAAAGGAATCGATTCAAGAAGACTTGAATTATGTCCAAGAACAATCAATTCATCAAGATCGCAAACTTACGGTCTTGGCAGAAAAGAGAAAAAGAAAACAAGTTGAGAGAGAGGGAGAAGGAGAAAGATCGAATCTGAAGCCAAAATCAGATTTAATTTCGAATCGAGGTTTGATCTGGAATCCAAAATCCAAGCAAACAACACCACTCAATGGCCCATGAAGAAGAAGAGCAAGAAGAGAGAAGCGAGGAATGAAACTAAGGAATCCAAGCCTATTCCATCAAGCCCGTCAAAATTTGAAACTCTAAACCCATCCTAGCACTTCATTTTCAAGATCCCAAGATTCTGCTATGAGAACAAGGGGAAGGCAAAGACAAAATCAAAGGGTGAGGAGTACATCGACAACAAAGAAGGCTTCGACGGAGAAGAAACGAAGAACACGCAAGAGGCTAGTCCAGGTTGTATTGACGATCGACAAAGAAAAGAACAAGATTTCGGTAGAGTGCGCAAGTAATTGCATCATGGGAAGATTTTGGTACAACCATGGCTTACCACCGCCACCGCCGCCGGTGTTGTTTTTGCCGTTACCACCTTCGTCTCAACCACCTCTGTCACCAGTCTTCCATGGTTCTTCATCTGTGTATGTTTTTGGAACAACCGTATGTACGTTCAAAGAAAACCAGGGGCTTATTCATTCTATTGGACTTCAAAGGCAACAATGAAGCCCACATTTGTATCCTTCTCTTAAGCCCAAAAACTGACTTTAACTATCTAGCAAGCCCTAAAGATTTCAAGAATACACCGAAGTACGAATTTCTGGAACAAATACAAAGCCAAGAAGTGTAAAATTCCAGATTTCTTTTTCTTTCCACCTTGAGGACAAGGTGGATGTTTGGGGGGCGGGTATTGTTACATATAGATAGTAGGGATAATAGGGGGCTGGTCAATTAGTCAATTGTGGGGGCTGGTCAATTAGTCAATTGTGGGGTTATTAGAAGTATAAATAGAAGGGGATAGAAGTGATAGGCATCCGTTTTATATTGTGTAGTTGGAGGAAAACCTCTCTGGAGATCCGGGTCTCTCAAAAAGCTGGAAATCAATTTGTAAACATTTGATTGTTGAATAAAGATGAAAAGTTCGCATCAGGTTACCTCTGCCTGCTTAAACTGACATTATTTGAATACCAATAAAAGTTGCTTTCTTAGCAATATCCGCATTATAGTGTCATGTACTCTTGGGCTGCAATTAGTTGGCCATTTGTGGATGTTGATTATGTATGCCCCCATTTTTCTGTTGATCTTGAAATCCTTTCTAAGCATTGGATTGTCGTCATTTTTTTTCTTATCAAAGAGTGGGCATGCTCCAAATCTTGGTGAAATGAGAATTATAGTTGTTGCTATATATGAACAGGCATGATATATTGTTCTTCTGGGTGGCACGAATGGTGATGATGGGCATCGAGTTCACCGGTACTGTCCCGTTTACAAATGTGTATCTGCATGGACTTATTCGGGATTCTCAGGTGAGTATAATGCATTGATAAAGTAGAGATCCATGGCTTATTTACCTAATAGTAATGAATAATAGGAGATTATATTGTTGTTGATATCACATTTCATTCGTTATGCCTTTTCTAAATCTATTCATACATCACTTCTACACCCATCCCTCTAATCTTTGCATGAGCAAAATTGATTCTCGTGGTAACATATTTATTTTGTTCTTAGTGATCTGCTTGTAGTTCTTACCTTTAAGTTTGATTGTCTTCATTTTACCGTTTGTTCCTTATCGTGTCATGTACTTCTCTCTTTGGCGTTACTGGTCAATGTATATTCTAAATGAGGTGCCCACTTGTCATCATGTTTCAGTTTTGACCTATTTAATATTGCATACTTGGTGAATAGTGGGTAACCATGTCTAATTCTTATTTAAATTTTAAGGCACTTCAATCTTTAGCAATTTTCTTATTTTGGTAAATTTGAGTTGCATGTTTGTTGGGAGTTTGCCATGTAAAGATTGCATTTGATGTAATGGAATATGAGGCCTTAAAGAGTACTAAGATTTTCTGTTCTTAGTTACATGTTCCTCCATCTGAGACCGATTCTCTCTTTTAACTTTTTTCTCTCCTCTGAAGTTACAATTTATTGCCTTTCTTCAATGGCTCTGATATTTTAAGTAGAATAGCGATCATCATTATTGCATCTTTATTTGCTTATTTATCAGTAGTATCTTAAGATAATGCATATTTGTTTGTATAACTGCATGGCTAACTGTATATTTAACAAAATTTCTGCAGGGACGAAAAATGTCTAAAACATTGGGAAATGTTATAGATCCCTTAGATACTATCAAAGAGTTTGGCACTGATGCTTTGCGCTTTACACTTGCTTTAGGAACTGCGGGTCAGGTTTGTCATTCAGTTTGCATATGATGAATTTGAATCCCCCATGTGTTTTTCTAATGGTTATTTATATATATTCCTTTCTAGTGTGTTTTGATATTTCAGTAGCTCAGTAATTAACTAATTCTCATTGTTTGATTCTAGGATCTAAATTTATCAACTGAGAGATTGACATCTAACAAGGCATTTACCAACAAATTGTGGAATGCTGGCAAGTTTGTCCTGCAAAATTTACCTACTCGAAGTGATCCATCAGCTTGGGAAAGTTTATTGGCCCAAAAGGTTTGTTTATATCTCATTGCCAAGGTTCTTTCACCACAATTGTTTAGTATATATGATGCTACCTTCTTTTGTTGTGGACCTGGAATTGAAAATAGAAACAGACAGCATGTTGCTAAGGTGTAAAATAACATAAACATAATCTGCAAGATGGTTCACTCAGTGGATAAGCTTCAGAGACAATGATATGCGGAAGCCTTTTATCTTCTATACTAATGACATCCAACCTCTTTTGGGTTCACATTGTAAGGCTTTTGGAGCTTTGAGTTAACGAAACAATTTAAGTTTTCCCAGTTGGTCTCTCTATAGTGTAATCTCCGCCTCAGAATGGTGTACCTTCTGCACAGAGATGATTCTGAAGGAATCTTATAAGGCTCGATTACCAAAGTGTATTTTGGAAAGACATTTAAGGGGGTAGTGGGGTGAGCTGCAATCATAGGAGCCTTTTATTTTCTCTTTATTGTGTTACCTTTTATGCTGGTATTTCCCTTTTTAGTTTTGCTATCTTAGTATTAAATAATAGGTGGGGAGGGGAATGAGGGGATATCTTTGAATTGTCTAGTTTTGTTATTGGGAGGGAGTCTGGCTCTCGAATATCCAGACAATTTTCTTTATTTCTGTTCTTTCTTTTGAGAACCGATTGTAATCGAACGAGTTCTTATCATTTGGTATTAGAGCCAAACGATTCTCAGCGACGATGCCTCCGAAGAACCAGGGCGAGCGTCTGGACATGTTAGAGGAATCGGTTCAGGAGATGGGGGGACGATTAGATTCGGTGGACGAAACGCTGCAAATAATGAAGGCAGACGTGCAGTTGTTATGCAATCGAGTTTCAGGACATTCTAAAAGACTGGAGGACTTGGACCGTAGGATTCAGATGGTTATGGAGAAAATAGAGGCATGGCTACAACAGGGACCATCCAAGTCGACAGGAGTTGGGAGGCCGAATGGGCCGTCCCAAGCCTCTGGTTCTGGGTCAATTCCAAGAACAACGCTGCACATGGAAGGGAGGTCATTGATATTCACCAAACGAAACCGGGAGGGGGACCAAAACCTGTGAACCAAGGAGCCAATACAACAGATTGGAGATTGCGCAGAGTGGAATTGCCGACATTCAAAGGAGAGGACCCTGATGGATGGATTTTTTGAGCAGAGCGTTATTTTGCTCTTCAACAATTTGAAGAAACGGTGCATGGAAGGGGAAGCTCTCGCATGGTTTAAATGGAAGGACAGTAGGAGACTCAATCTGTTATGGGAAGAATTGAAAACGTTGTTGATTAACTGGTTCAGATCCACGACCCAAGGGTTTGCACTCGAGAAGCTGTTGGCACTTAAGCAAGAAGGAACCATTCGGGAGTACTGACATTCTTTCGAGATCCTGGCATCATCGTCAACTGATCTACCGGAGAAGGTTCTAGAGGGAAACTTCAGTAATGGTCTCAGACCAATCCAGGCAGAGGTGAGACTACTAAGGCCCCAACGCTTATTGAAGATTATGGAAATGGCTCAGTTAGTGGAAGACCGTAACTCACTCGTGACTGGGGGTTACAAATCTAACAGCGACCGGTACAAACCAGCACTCAATGTGACAGGTAACACCACTAAAACTACTACCACAAGTAGCGCTCCATTCACTAATGTTAAGGCGGCGGCTACTGCTATGTCTTCCAACTCCGAAGCAAGTTCCACTCGTAGGTTAATGGAGGAGGAACTACGAGATAAACGGGCTAAAGGTCTTTGCTTTCGTTGTGATGAGAAGTATAGGGTGGGCCACAAATGTAACAATAAGGAGTTGCAAATCATGCCTGCAGGATGAACCCACAAAATGGGAAATTGTCGAAACCATGGTGCACGAGGAAGGGCAAGAAGAAGTCAAGGAACCGGCAATGGAGTTGTCCCTAAACTCGGTAGTTGGTGTAACATCTCCACGAACTATGAAAATCTGTGGTTACATTAATAAAGTGAAGGTGATTGTGCTCATTGACTGCGGAGCATCTCACAACTTTATCTCCAAATAGATACTAGAGCGACTAAATTGGAGGTGAATGGTACCTCGACATTTGGGGTGAAGGTGGGAATATGACAAGTAGTTAAGGAAATGGTGTATGTATGGGTGTCGAACTCTTGCTGCCCGGGGTATGTGTGAAGATCGACTTCCTACCGTTAGAATTAGGAAGAACCGACGTAATCTCGGAATGCAGTGGCTCGAAACGCTTGGAGATATGAAGGTTAATTGGAAGACTCTTAGCATGAAATTCTGAGTTGACGGAAGGAAGGTGGTAATCCAAGGAGAGCCAGATCTTCATAAGACAACGATTGCCTTCAATCACTAGTTAAATGTTGGAACATTGGTGAGGAGGTGATGTTACTAGATTTGTACGAGATGCATGAAGAGAAGAACACCGACACTAATGAGACAGCTGTTGATTTGGGTGATGTGATTTCCGAGTTTGGGGATGTGTTTGAGCCTATACAAGCACTGCCACCCAAGAGGCAGTTAGATCATGCGATTCCACTACAACCACATACCGCTCCGGTTTGTGTTAGACAATATCGCTATTCATACGAGCAAAAGAATGAAATCAAGGGGCTGGTCCATGAGATGTTGGCAGCCAAAATAATACGACCTCGTGATAGTCCCTACTCCAGTCCAGTCTTGTTGGTTAAAAAGGACGGTAGCCGGAGGTTTTGTGTGGACTACCGAGCGCTCAATTGAGTTACTGTAGCCAACAAATTCCCTATTCCACTAGTGGACGAGTTGATAGACGAATTGCATGGAGCTCGGGTTTTTTCTAAACTCGATCTTAAATCCGGTTACCATCAGATCCACATGAAGAAGGAAGACATAGTGAAGACAGCTTTCCGTACTCATGAAGGCCACTACGAGTTCGTGGTTATACCTTTCGGCCTCACAAACGCCCCCACAACCCTCCAAGCTCTCATGAACGAGTTGTTTCGGTCTCAATTACGTCGGTACGTTCTCATATTTTTTTATGACATCCTCATTTATAGTCGAAATGTGGAAGAACATCGTCAACATCTTGCATCCGCACTCCGCATTTTACGTGAAAATCAGCTAGCAGCTAATCGAAAGAAATGCGTTTTCGGCCACTCGAGGGTGGAATATCTCGGTCACGTGATATTGGACAAAGGGGCCGAGGCGGAGCATGGGAAGATTCAAGCCATGAAAGATTGGCCAACCCCCTGAAATGTGAAAGAACTACGTGGATTTTGGGGCTTACGTCGCAAGTTTGTATGAGGTTATGGGAGCATGGCTCGTCCGTTAACTCAATCACTAAAAAAAATGCACTTGAGTGGAATTTAGAAGCCAATAACGCCTTCCAACAGCTGAAAACAACAATGATGCAGCTGCCTATTTTGGCTCTACCGGACTTCTAGCAAGAATTTGTGGTAGAGACAGATGCGTCGGGAACCGGGTTGGAGCTGTGTTGATGCAACAACAGCGACCTATAGCTTACTACAGCCAAGATCTTCCAGCTTGTGACATTTACCGGTCTGTTTATGAACGAGAGCTACTGGCTATTATATGGGCACTTAAGAAATGGAGACACTATCTATTGGGGAAGAAGTTTGTAGTCAAAACCGATCAATAAAGCCTAAAATACTTACTGGAACAGCGTGAAGTGGCACCAGAATGCCAGAAATGGTTGGTAAAATTGATTGGGTTTAATTTCTCAATTCAATTCAAACCGGGAAAAGAAAATGTGGCAGCAGACGCACTTTCGAAATGGAGTCACAGTCCATCACTCATGGAGCTTGTCACCATTTGTGGGTGGGACAGTGCTCAGATGGCAAACCAACAAAGATCAGGAACCCAAATGGTAGGATATTAAGGACCGGTTGGCTGCCGACAAGTCCGAGACAGGTACTTTTCAATTATGGGGAAATTTATTTCTGCGAAAGGGGAAAATTGTGCTTCCAAGGAAATCCACTTTCATTGACCAGGTGTTGAAGAAATATCACAATGGGACCATTGGGGGGCACTCGGGAGTCTTGAAGATGTACCAAAGGGTCAAGGCGGAATTTTGGTGCGAGGGAATGAAGAAGTTCATCAAAGATTACATCAACGCTTGTGAGGTGTGTCAAAAGAATAAAAAATCCACTCTTTCCCTGGCTGGATTATTGCAACCCTTGGACATTCCTCAACAAGTTTGGGAGGACATATCCATGGGCTTCGTGGAGGGGCTTACCCTATCCGCAAGGTATAACGCCTTACTAGTGGTAGTGGACCTGCTAAGTAAGTACAACCACTTCATAGGGCTCTGACACCCTCTTCGGCACACTCGGTAGCGTTACTTTTCATTAAGGAGATCGTTCGGCTACATGGAATTCCACGGTCAATCGTGTCGGACCGCAACAAGGTCTTCCTTAGTAATTTTTGGAAGGAATTATGGCGTTTACAAGGCACTAAATTGCAATTTAGCACCTCTTATCACCCATAAAACGACGGACAGACTGAAGTGGTAAATAGGTATGTCGAAACATACTTATGCTGCTTCACTAGTATTCGTACCAAACAATGGGCCACCTGGCTGCCATGGGCCGAGTATTGGTATAAAACGTCCTTTCACATGGCGACCAACACTACACCTTTCTGGCTGCTATATGGTCGTGATCCAACATGTTTCGTCCCCTTTCCAGCTACAGAATCAACTAACTCCACAGTCGATCAGCTGTTGATCGATAACGACAAACTTTTGGAGGACCTGCGAGTACAGTTAGAGCGGGCACAACAACAAATGAAAGCATCGGCAGACAAGCAGCATAGAGATGTGGAGTTTGCGGTGGGCCAGTGGGTTTATCTGAAGATGAGACCGTATCGGCAAGCTTCATTAACTACCAATCGCAATGTCAAACTCGCTCCGCATTATTATGGGCCTTTTCTCATTGTCGGCAGAATTGGGAAGGTGGCCTATCGGCTACAGCTTCCGATCGACAGCATTATCTGTCCGGTGTTTCATGTACCACAACTCAAACTCGCA